CAGATTAGCCAGAGGTAAAAAGTGCCAACTCACAGAAGCTTGCACTAAAGCACAATGGATTTCAATAATTTGAAGTACAACGTCAATAAAAAATACCCAACTGCAACTTGTTAAATATTTCTAGGCACCTTTGGGTTTCATTTGTATATTCTGATTGTCTGTGGCACTCAAGTGTCTCAAAGAAAATTGCACCGTGGTTCCACTTCTCGCTAGCAAACTGGTACTCAAAGATGTTCCTCTGAAATTGGGCGTAGCTGTTCACTTATGAGGTCCTTGAACAAGATTCCTTCACAACAGGAGGGATTCAGCCAAATGAAATCAAAAGTAACAGAAATATTCTTTCAGAAACCATTGCAGACATTAAGTGGGCTGGAATTTGTCAGGTTAGCATTTTTCTTCTGTGATGCTCATTTCAAAGTTGTTGTATTCCGCTCTAATCAATTTGTGTGAGACACCTATGAATTGCAAATATATTAGTTGACGTTCTACCAGAGTCTGACTGTTTTGGAGGTCTCTTAAATGGTTAGCTCACCCAAAAATGAAAATTTGGTCATTATTTACTCACCCTCGTGTCGTTCCAAACCCGCATGACCTTCGTTCATCTTCGGAACACAAATTAAGATATTTTTGATTAAATTTGAGAGGTTTCTGATCCTCCATAGAGAGCAATGCAACTGAAGTGTTCCCAGGCCCAGAGACGTAATAAGGACATAGCTAAAATAGTCAATGTGACATCAGTGGTTTTGCGTTGTGGTACTCTCGATAATGGCAGAGGAGAAGAACTGTTGAATAAAGTTGTTATTTTTGTTTTCTTTGTGCACAAAAAGTATTCTCGCAGCTTCATAAAAATACAGTTGAACCACTGCTGTCACATGGACCGTTTTAACAATGTTCTTAATATGTCTCTGGGCCTGGGAACATTTCAGTTGCATTGCTCTCTATGGAGGGTCAGAAAGCTCTCAGATTTCATCAAAAATATCATAATTGTGTTCTGAAGATGAATGAAGGTCTTATGGGTTTGGAATGACATGAGGGTGATTAATTAATGACAGAATTTTCATTTTTGGGTGAACTAACCCTTTAATAGTATAAAAAGGACTTATATGTTCTCATCCTTTCTCCAGGTTTAATCAACCTCCTCGGTCCAGACAGATGTGGACGACACGTGGCGTTGGGCTGCATTCACCCACCATATAAATTCAACGAGCTTAAATGTCACAAGCAGACGGCTGCCCTTCTCAACCCCTGCGGAACCCTGTCACAAGTGTTGTAAAGCACACGAGAGCCTGGGGAGGCTATTAGAGCTGAAATCAACCCCCTGGTGACTGAATTATGCCCCAATAATACCAGAAAAGGCAGGAACAAGAAGACAAACGAGTGACCGTGGGAGCGGCGAGGGGGAAAGGCAGACAAGCTCAGTGATGTTCTGAACAATGATGAGGATGATGATCTAAGGGAGGATAGTAATCAGTGGTTGGTTTGTCCCAGTTTTCCAGAATCATGGGGCGATCCACCAGAGCCTTGTTGAAGTAGACCAAACTTAGATAAGAAATGACAAAAGGTCTTGTTTCTCAACAGAAAGCTGACTTCTCTTCAGATTTGCCTCCTCATAAATAGTGTGTTGTAATTACAAGAAGGCTCTTTTAATAGCCTGTGTTGCGAGATGCGAGAATGCGGGTTGGCTCGGTGCACACTGGGTCATAAACCGCTCTCTAATCAGCAGCCATAACTCTGTTGCCCAGCAACCAGAAGTGTTCTAACATCTCCATGCAGCAACTGTTTACATTTCAGAGCAGTGTTGGCGCTGACGGCACATGATATTGAGAGGAACTTCTAAATGGATTCCCTCAATCTACAGGGAAACTGCATTAAAACAAAAGTGTGCAAAGAAAGTGTGCAGGCATTCATGGAACAGTTTCTGCACATGGGTAAACACAAATACAATGCAAGACTTTGTTTTGTGTGAAGATTTACCAAGATATCTCTGCTCATCAACAATGGATTAGTAGTGGGAAGAGATCAAGACCTAGTCTTGCATGGCGATACTTTTGATTATGATGCCTGGACCACGCCAACACACATTAGGCCTTTGAACATCCCACTTAGATGTGATAAAACTCATAAAACTTTTAATGATTCAATAGCAAACTCCAAAAAAATTCATAAAAAAATAATATAATATAAATAATATAATCAGGGGTGCATATAAGTGGTGCGCATGTGCAAGTGAAAAAAAAATGCACTGTGTAAATAAGTTCAGACAACTCGTTTGCGTACCAACATGGTTGACAGCTATTTATTCTCAATCACAGTTTTAGATCAACTGTAATACTGTATAAGATTTCCGTTTGAACTAAAAGAATAAATCTCAGCTACGTGCTGCCGGTTTCAGAACAAAACGCAAAACTGTGTCATTCACTGACGCACTTCACTCTGTCTCCCTCTCCACCAATAAGCGGCTACCGTTGCATAATCCAGGTGGATGCTGCACATTGGTGGTGGTTGAGGAGATCCCCCCTCACAATGTACAGCACTTTGAGTACCCAGAAAAGCACTATATAAAAGCAACAAATTACTCACTTGGCAGCACTCCCGCAGCGCATATACTTACTTGCCGGCAACACGCCAAAATAAAAGCTTGCTGATTTTAGGCTTGAAAATGTTGAAAACTTACATAAGAATAAAAAAGTACAAAAAAAAAAAAAAATAAAATATAATATAATATAATATAATATAATATAATATAATATAATATAATATAATACAATACTAAAATTAACCATTGCTGATAATATGAAAACTCTTTAAGTTCTTAAAATTGAACCTCAAGCACAGCAGGCAAAAACCTGCAATGCTCCTCTTCATTAAAATCACCTGGTCTCCTTTGGTTCTTTAACTCAGTTTTATAGCCAATGGACCACTATTATAAACTAATGGATTATAAAAGAACATTGAAAAGAAAGAAAAAAATACTTTAATGAAACTTGACCCAGTGCATTTCATTACTGTCACTTTCTGAACTGGACAAATGACACAGCAAACATCTAACACTTCCCCATCCACCAAACAAGAGAACAATAAACACAGGAGTAAAATAAACCCTGCTCAATGCAAAAAACAAAACAAAACATCAACACCTGGCAGTGGCAAAATGAAGGCCATCGAGAGAAAAGAAATGCTGACCTCAGCTTTCCTTTCCGTCTTCCACTTGTCCTGAAGGGTTAATTATTTCCATTATCCAGAGTGGCCTGGGAAATTCAAGCATGGATTGGGACCGACCTGACAACCAGCATCAACAATCTCTGAGAACAATGCAGCTGTCCGGTTCATGGGTGGCGACTGTGTTTTCTCTCCTCTAACACATTCACATCAGGGTGGCCATGTGCTGGTGGCCCCTCCAGACAGCCACAGGGCCAGAGAGCAGGAGACTGGGGCACAACAAACCAAACATGTCGTCTTTGATTCACTGCCAGCGAATCAGTGAGTCAACCCAAACCACTGGGAAAGCAACAGCACAGGAAATAAGGGTCAAACTGCGCTTTCCTCAAGGTGTCAATGCAAAACATGCCATGCTTTGTTTACAGCGAGGTGACACTGAGGCAGAGAGGTGTGCAAGTGAGTGTGCATATGCGAATGTCTGTGCGCATATCTAAGGGAGTGTAAACAAGCAAGATTGACGTTTTAAGCCAGGCATAAGTTCAATCAGAAGGGAAGATCTATAGATGCACATTTAAGATTGGTCGCTATTTTCACGGGAGCTGGAAGCTGATAACACTGCCTTTGAAAGAAAGATGCAGCTATATGTTTTGGAACTTTGTGCGATATTTTGTAGAGGCGAGAGATTGAGATGAGAGAGAGAGATGAAAAAAATGATGGATTTGACAAGGAAGACAGAAACACGGTCTTCGCCGCCTTGGGCAGTAGATCATATTGCTATCAGCACGGGGCCGTTCTCTCTCTCGCCAAATGAGGGATAGAGGACAGAAGAAACAGCTGGCGGGAGTGTTGTTTGTCCACCAGGGCCATTGCTTTCCATGGGCTGTTTCAGCCATAATGAAAATGAAGAGAGAGATTGAGATCAGGGACGAAGAGGGTTTCATCAATCACAGCTTAGTGGGGAAAAGAGAACAAAACTGATAGTGCCAAAAGACATAGCCCTGTGACACCTCCTGAGCTACACACTCATTCCTGTGCCTTTTGTCCAGCTCCTACTGCTTTTGGAGGTCCGGTGTCCATTTGTTCTGCCTGAACTAATGCAACATGACAACAGATTTGTGTATTCTCTTTGTTCACATATACACTGGCTGACAGGCTCTGGCCTCAGCACCAGGAGCTCAAAGCATGCTGGGCAGAAAAGAGATAATATTTATTACCAGAGTGGGGCTGGAAGATATCTGGAATAATAAGTAATGAATCTCTTTGCTTGTCAGATGCAGGCAGGATACATATGAATTTCTGATCGTGACTGAGAGAAGACTGAAGCTCTGTTCCAAAACCTAGTGGGCGGCCCAGCTTTCTACTGTTTATACAAGATACCCTTGAAAGGCAGCATCCTAAACGAACTGGAAACTTGTAAGGGACTGATTTGAAACATTCTACAAGGGCAGGAACCCGCTGTGCGACATAAATAGATTCCAACCGGATCTGATGTTAAAAGTGCGTAAAAAAACAACCACCATAGCAAAATAAATATTGGGTAAAATAGACAATTTTTAATTAGATTGAACATTATCAACATCTTTCAATATCTTATGAGTAAAATATCTGACTGGAGTGTTGCCAAAATGGCCGCTGTGTGAACTGGCTTAGCATAAATGGGTTTTGGTGCTGCCTTAGATTTTGGACAAAAGAAGGTATCTTAAAAGATAACGCTGCTGTCTACTGTGTTAGCCCAGGTTTTGTGCCAGCAGAGTGCCAATGATGCTTTAAAATGCTGCCTAGGTGGTTTTGGAACAGAGCCTGAGTCTGTATGAGGCATGTTGGATTTCCACCAAACTCACCTTCTCTTTACTCTGTCTGGCGGTTTCCTCCGCAGACAGCAGAGTCTTGTAGTAGGAGCTTCTCTCTGCAGTGAAGTGGACCTTCGACAGGGCGTTATCCACCAGAGCAACGGACAAATTCACACCCTCGATGTGAAGCCAGCCAATAAAGTTTCCTGCTTTATCCATGCTCTCCACCTCCACTTCCACCTAGGAGAAAGAGAGAGAGACGAGGCAAAAGAGTGAGTTAATTTACCGTATCTGGGATTAGCTGAGATTCCATTACTGTGGCTGCAGAGAAAGAGACTTTGTTTTAAATAGACAGATCACTGGAGGAGACTGAGCTATCTATTGATCGTCCAGACGGCTCGTTCTTCAGGCAACTCAGGGGGCCTTCAGCATACCCCCACTCATCTCATACACTCACGCACACACTTCCTGTCACTGACATCACTGCTAGGCACGTCTTTCTCGCACAATTAAACGTGAGGTCGAGATTCAGCCTGGCGCTAACTTTAGCCTGACATTCTCAATTAAAGCGGTGACACCAGGGAACACGCACCACTAATATATTACATCTGTGTCCAAGCACTGAGGCTGTTTATTGGCCAGTGATCAAAGACGGCAGACAAGGACAAAAAGAGTGCATTTCAAAGAAAGACCAGATGACAGAGAGAAAGCAAAGAAGGGGGAAAAACAGTGAGTCACTTTAAACATTAACCAATTACTAATGGAAAATATGCAAGGATGAATTCTCTAACTGCTTCTTAACACCCAAAAGAGAGAAGGGAAATTACAAACTATGACGCATCAAGGTTTTAGAGAAGTCTTTGTGCAACAGAAAATCTAAAAGCTCTAATCAAAGCAACCTAATTACAATGTCTTATTAATTATGATGATTATAGGGAATTCAAATGCTTAAGAAACTAGATTTTTTACATTTTCTAAGGAAATTATGCTAGGGTCTTGTGAGAGGTTGCCAAGGAGTTGCAATGCAGTTGCTAAGATATTCAGATATTCAAGATATTCATACGATATTTAAAATGCCATTGCTATGATACTGTGAGTGGTTTCCAAGCATTGCTAAGAGTATGTTGCTATGTCTCTGTGATATTCTGATCCCTAGATATGGCTCAGATTCTTCAGTGTAAGCCTATGGGATTTTTTCACCATTTTATAGTCCAATCCATACATCTCATCAAGCATCACAAATTGAAGTATCCTTCATATCTGTAGCACAAACGGTTCGGGCGACTTGATGCACCAAATTTTAATACTAAAAGTTACAGGCTGCCTTAGCGAGCACTACTTAGAACTTGCTCCATCAAATCATCTGTCTCAACTATTACGATCCATCGGCAAAGCAACATCCACACTGTGCAAGTGAAATGGGTTTGTGAGAAACAGGCAGGTGTCGTGAAAAGACACTCCAAGAATCAAACGATTAAGAGTGCGGTTGTTCAGCCAGGAAGCCCCTTGGGAAATCTGCTGGGAATTACTTTGGAGGCAGAGGCTGCATACGCAGGGAGAGTAAAAGCTTTTTAATGAGGGCATAATCGGCACTTTGATTAAACACAAGAATGACAACCAACCTCATATTATGGGGACAAACAACTACCCTCCCACTCCGGCCCCACTTGGTGGCAAACTAATGCTCTACACGCAAAAGGTAATGGCTCTGGCCGGGTTCACGCTCAGAATGTTCCGGTAATCTGGGTTGGCCTTAGCCAGAGGGCTAAATGTATTAGATCTCACACAACCAGCTTTATGTCCCCCCCCCCATGTACACATAGAGCAGAGTTAATCAAAGTGAACTAGTCTACTAAAAAGGTTTTCATTAGTAATGATCTGATGTTAAACCAGAATTTTGTTTAATTAAATGCCGCTAGTTTGTTGTGGATGGCTGCCATGGTGTTGCTCAGGATGGTTTTATCTTGTTTGTGAGGTTGATAACATGTTAACATGCTAAGTGGATGCTTAATGTCACTGGTATTTAACAGTGGGTACTTTTGACAGCATGTCCATAATGTAGATGCTTTCCCTCCCATTTCAGACACTAAATTTTATATACGGTTTTGCACTGAAGGTGAGTGTCTCAGACACAGATCACAGACTGAACGGCACTCTGCTAGCCTCCTGGCGTTATATAATCAAGTCTTTAGATGGGAGAGGTGTTTTCCTCAATGTAAGACGAGGGGTTTTTAGACATGATTTGGCAGCAGACGCTGCAGGATAGTCTACAACTGTCTTTAGTGCCTCTGTTCACCTGTCCACCAGCATCTAATGCATCCCTTGCCACTCAACACATCACATGACACATTATTAGACTTTCTACCTGACAATGCTCAGAGACCCAAGGGATGTTCATTTCGGTTATTTTTCCCAACCGACAACCGACGCTCGTTAACCGATTGTTAACCGACAAGATTATTTTAAATTAGAATTGAATTAAATTAGAAAGGATAAGTATCTGTGACTCGTTAAAAATACTAACATTTGTTTCCCGGGGATTAATTTTACATGCGCAAAAAGCAGCAAACAACAGAACATGAGGATTCACACGGTCATATCACATCATGCACCTGCACCACTACATATATATATATATAACAAATAAATAGGCATATATGAGAAACATTTTTACTTAAATTATAAATTGAGAAAATTAAAGAAAAACATGTAGCCTAGTATGCAGAGCTTCGGTTCATTTTTGTGCTGTGCAAAAGGAAACAGACAGCAGGAAGCGGCATCCTATTTTTCTTTAGGCTTATTTTACAAAAGCACAAAGATTTGTTTTTATTGTGAATGTACACAAATATAGGCAAACCTTTTACAATTCCGATTATCTTTAGGACTAAAAGGAGTAGTTTCTTCCACTGTTAGAAGTAAAAAATTCAAGTGATTGCGCCGGCGCCGCATGCGCACACAGTTAAGCATTGCAGCCTGTTCATTATCATAATACAATACAGTCAATCAAACATATGGAAAAAAAATATGCAGTAAAAAAAATATGTAGTAAAATCTGTTAAGCCGTTAAGGTTAAATGTTATCACTGTACCGCCGTGATGTTATACAAAACATTTTGTTTTTTTACGTGGATTTTGGAACGCGAGTGAAGTAGGCTACATAATAAATAATAATTTGCCATTCAAATACATCGCGAATATGGAAACATTTGATTTTGTGTGGAATGAGATACCCAACTTTGGTTTCAGTTTCGTTTTAACCTAAATGAATTTGTTTTGGCTTGTCATTTATATTACTATAGCTTCTTATATTTTTAATTCTTCTTCTTTTCTAAATACTGTTAATTGAAATGATTTGTTGTGGAGTGAGGGGAACTAAAATAGCCTAGCTATGTTTACAGTGTTTATTATAATGTTTGTAAACATTTCGCGTCGGCATTAGGCCCATTTCTGAATGAAATGCGACTTATACGCGACTTGTTTTTCCCCCTTAAAAAACACATTTTTTAAACGCATAGCGTATTTTAACCATGCAGCAAACCGTTTTAAATATTTTGAAAATTACTAAAAAATTAATTATTAATTGACTTTTTAAACCGTTTAACTGATTGTATTAATCGGTCAAAATTCTTACCGTCCCTTAACCGAACATCCCTATACTCATGGTGTATTTTTTACAACGTAAAACATGATTTCACAAAGCCATTGATAGATTCAGGGAATGTAAGCATCTTTCAACAAATAAACATGTCAAACACTTGCTGCTATAATAGGTAACAATTATGGGTGGGCAATGACCAAAATCTTATATCATGATATAACGATATACATATATATATATCACAATATAGTTATAAATAAGAAATGCTACGTACATTTTATAAAGTAATCACATGTTTAAAAAAAAAAAAAAACCTGAATATTCTTCACTGTGTATATTGAATAGCTTATATATTTCTTATTAGTTACAAAACTGATTTAGTCAAGAGCAGTAAGAGATTTTCTTTCTTCTGTTGTTTGATTAACATGAATGACCGACAGCAGGTATATTGGACTGCTGTTAATTTAAGAGATCCCCGGATCCAATATTCTGTTACACGTGTTTTCTTCCTCAGCTTTTTGCCTTCACTTAAGACTAAAATTACTGTTTACGAGGATACTTGCAAAGACAGGTATTTTGACACATACAAGTGTGTTTATTTAACTGTTCAAGGCCCATAAAGTCAAAAATAACTCAATACCCCTGGGTTCTATGAGCACAGTCTTCACGTGTGCACAGCTCTTTGACAGCGCTCAGAAACCGTCTCTCAGACAGCGCGTGCATATAGCGAAATGAGTTCTCTTTCGTTGCTGATTGTGTTTCAACAGCTTAAAAATCACTTTTTTAACCGTAATGCTTAAAAATGCATGCAAACGATAAGTTTTCATGACCACATAGCATGTCACGTGAGCATGTAACCGTGACAGAGACGATATTCCAAAATCTCTACTGGTTGACAACATTCAACCGGTTAATTGTGTCTATCGGTGTATCGCCCACCCCTAATTACAATATACAATAAATTTGTTCCCGAAGTATTACATATTGTGTCACTTAGCTGGTGCCTTTTTTGACCTTTACAAGCTGGAAGTTAAAACTCTTTTTTCTCCCTAACCAAAACTATCGTGATACATTTCAGTGTTGGCTACTGCTATGTGTTGTTTTTACTTATTTTAATTAAAATGAGGCAATATTTAATTGCATTTATATACAAACGTTGCAATTCTGCTCTGAGGCTTAAGGCTGTTTGTGAGGGAGAGAGATTGAGTTACGAGAGAAAAGCATATGGCCTTTATCTAGATTTAAAATCTCCTGCTTATCCAAATACAAGGTCAAACTCAATGCACTCGGTTGCAATTCGGAGAAAACGCCAAACGTTTCATGTAAGCATTAATAAAGCAATATACAATTACATGAGTTTAATCTCAATGACCCCAAAACTCAAAGATTAATATCTTTGCGGTATTCTTTCCTGGCACAACACCATGACTCATACACACAAAGACAACATGGATAAACAGAGAAAAATGCATCAGTGTGATTACGGAGCAGCAGAAAAGCTTTCCACACACACCATGTAAGATATATCACAGACGATATCCAAATGCCTCTACTGATGGCTCGAGCCTTCGCTCATCTATTGCAGCATATTACCATGTTTGCAGTACTAATTTACCATCGCAAAGTAACGCTGGAGTCATCCA